TTTTTGGTTTTTGATTTTTTGTTTTTTTCAAGACAGGGTTTCCTCTGTGTTGTTTTGGTGCCTGTCCTGGATCTCGGAGAAGGCTGGCTTTAAACTCACAGAGATCCGCCTTCCTCTGCCTCTCAAGTGCTGGGATTAAAGGTGTGCACCACCACCGCCCGCTTCTTTTTCTTTTTTTATTCTAATACTAAAAATACAATTCAGAGCTTCAAGTAGGCTAGACTCGTGCTTTGCCACTGAGCTGCATCCCAGTCCCCCAAAACAATTAGACACAGTGTATTTAAATGTTGTCAGAAAATCACCACACCCAAAGTGTGGACTCCAAATGGCTAAAACACCTTTGGGAAAAGTCAGGCCATCTTAATATCTCACAACCTTCCTGGGTACTTGTTTGGGATGGTATTCCTACACTAAGGCATGATGAAGAAGGAACTATATTTTACCCAATTTGATATCCCCTTATCTAAAATGTCTACATTTCAGCATTTACTTTCCCAGTAGTATATGAGATTAAAGTTCATCTTAAAGTTGATAATCTTGAAAACCATAAAAATCAATTTTTATTTGTGTGTCTGTACATGTAGAATGTCAGATAACAACTTTAGTAGTCAGTTCCCCCAGACTAGTGGTACTTAGCAGTATGAATAAATTGTAGACTTCTTTTGTGGCTGTGATTATAGCCGTTTACCCTTGGGCAATTTTGTTGAATGTCAGGTACGTACAATCCACACTTTTGATTAAATGAAAGTTTCCACAGATTTGGACTTCTATCCTACACCTTGGCAGAGACTGGGCATGCTGACTCTGGATCTCAGCCATTACAAAAATAAGGAGTATTTTTCTCAGAGAGGTACAATTAGTGTTTTTTTTTTCTGATAAGATTATATTTTGTCCTTCTGCCCCTGCTTTGACTAGTTGAGAGCAGATGTTATAAAGCTTCATGTTCTCAAATAAAGGACAGGACTGGTTGCTTGTGGTTGGTTTTCCAAATGTTTACTTTGATTGCTGCCCACTGTCCATTCCTGCTCTGCCTTTTAGGATCCTGGTGAGAGCAGTGCCTTCTGTCTCTTTGCTGTAATCCTGGCTGGGTCTGAGAGGCTCATTCTTGTGTCAATCTTATCAGTGTAATCACATGGACTTTATGCTTTCTAGAAACTCAGTTTATGACCTGATAATTATTCATTGTTGATAAGTGGACATATTTATACATTATTGTATATCATTATTGAACATAAACGTATAGTCAGGTCATGTCCAACCCCAAATCTCTTTTAAATCTATGTATGTATGTATGTATGTATGTATGTATGTATGTATGTATGTATGTATCTATCTATCTATCTATCTACCTATCTGTTTATGAGTGGGGAGGGTATGGATATGGAGGTCAGAAGACAATTTGAGAAAGGAAGTCAGTTCTCCACTATATGGGTTGTGGGGATTGAACTCAAATCATCAGACTTGGAGGCAAGTACCTTTTCTTGTTGAGCCTTCTTTTTAGTCTCAACCCAAAATCTCTTACTTGTTCCTTACAAGTTGAAAAAAATGCATTTGAAGGATAACGTTAAAAAGTGAAAGCTTTTGCCAGGAGGTGGTGGTGTACGCCTTTGATCCCAGTACTTGGGAGGCATTGGCAGGCAGATCTGAGTTTGAGGACAACCAGAGCTGTTACACAGAGAAACCCTGTGTGGGGGGAGTGTTTATCCAGAGTTTACCATTATTAATAGTTTGGTATTTGATCACTTGGGCTTTTATCCCCATATACTTACATATAGTCTTTAAAAATATTAAGCATTATTTACTTACCTATTTATTTATTTATTTGTTTGTTTTCAGGACAGGGTTTCTTTGTATAGCTGTGGCTATACTAAAACTCACTCTGTGAACTAGGCTGGCAGTAAACTCAGAGATTTGCCTACCTCTGCCTTCTGAATGCTGAGATTAAAGGTGTGTGTCACCACCACGTGCTATTTAGGTGTATAGGTGCATAACCCACCTTTATGTGCATGCACCACATGTGTTTAGTGCCTGAAGAGGCCATTAAAGGGCATCATATCCCCTGGAACTTGAGTTCCAAATGGTTGTGAGACACTGTGTGGGTGCTAGGAGTTGAACTCTGGTCTTCTGGAAGAGGGCTCAGGCTAAGGAGATGACTCTATTGATAAAGTGCTTGCCTCACAAGAACTCAAATTTGAATCCCCAGCACTGTGTAAACAGTTAGGCTTGATCTCACTGGACCCCAGTTTTCTATTTTTTTTTCAATGCTCAGTATCGAACCTAGGACAAATTCGCCAACACTGAACTGTACCCCCAGATTATTTATTTGAGACAGGATCTCAGGTAGCCCATTCTGGCCCACTGGCTCTAGCCAAGGCTGACCCTAAAATCAAAATAGGGGTCTGGAGAGATGGTTCAGTGGTTAGTTAAGAGCACTTGCTCTTCAGGGAACCCAGGTTCAACTCCCAGCACCCACATGGCAGCTCACAATTATCTGTAACTCCAGTTCCTGGGATCCAGTGCCCTCTTCTGGCCTCCTTGGGCACTGCAGGCAAAACATACATATTAAATAAACAAAGGTATATATAAATAACAACAACAAAAAGTTAGGCATGGTGTGGTGTACCTATAATCCTACTTCCGGGGAAATGGAAACAGGAGGATCAGTCTACCCAGAACCTCTGCCTCTAGGTTAAATGAGAGACTCTGTCTCAAAAAATAAAGTGGAGGGGCTGGAGCCATGACTCAACAGTTAAAAATATTCGGCTACTGAGGATCTGAGTTTGACTTCCAGCACCCACATAGTGGCTTACACAATCATCTCTAACTACAGTGCCAGGGGATATGATGCCTCTGCAGGCCCTGCAAACATGTAGTGTACACATATAAAGACAGGAAAAGCACTCATAGGCGTGTGTGTGTGTGTGTGTGTGTGTGTGTGTGTGTGTGTGTGTGTGTGAGAGAGAGAGAGAGAGAGAGAGAGAAGCAACCCTGAGTTAGGAAGAATCTGTTTGAATTCAGGAACTAGTAATAATAGCAAAAAAATAAGGTAGAGAATAGTTGGTGACCAAAACATGTACGTGTACACATGTATATACATATATTAGACATGTAAATATGATGCACATAGTCTGCATTTTATAAAGTATATTCACAAGTAGACAGCTTGCCTAGAACAGTGCCTGGCTCACATTGTCAGCTGACTGGAGATCTACACGACTCAGCACTCTGACAGAAAGGGATTGCTTTGTTTTAGACATAGAATTAACTTGAGCTGGAAGATGAAATTGGATCAGAGAGTGGCATTGGGCAGCAAAGCAGAAGTGTTGTGTGTGCTGAGATTTAGGCTAGGGTAATGTTAGACACTGCTAGTGGGTGTCTAGAGGCAGGGTGTGTTGTGTCAACCACAGCTACGTTACATGAACATAGGGACAGAGTGTACATTTTAGCATTAAGCAGATATAGTGTGAAGACAGTTCCACAGGACATAAAGACAGCAGAGGAGGTGACCCGTGGGTGCCAGGCACACACATGGTGCACATACTTACATGCATTGTGAGATATAAGGCTCAGACATGGCGAGCTTACTAACTCTAAACCTAAAAGGCTTTGTTTTCCTTGTCTTTCTGAATGCAGAGGAAGTAATTCCCATGTCTAGGCCTCGCTTCCTCATGACTTAGTGAGTGAGTGCCATGTTGTAGATGATCTAGGGGCCACCCCAAATCTAGGGAGTCTATTTCAATCCTTTTACTCAACTTTGTGTTTTTCCTAGTCAAGACAGAACAATACTGCTTAGCTTTTTATTAGAATTTGCCTACTCTGATACAACATTTGTCCTAAAAGAAAAAAAATTAAAAAGTTTTTATGTAGGAAAAAAGTTTTTAAAAATACATACATACATGTGCATATATATATATACTTTGTTTCTTTAGGAATCAATATCTGTACCTGAAGAGACATCAAATCAACTAAACTTTCCAGAAGAACCAAAACAAGAAGAACGTGACTTTTTGTTTGATGAAGAAATTGAACAGACAGAAAGAAGGAAAAAGACATTTAATGTTTGGTCTGATAATGATTCAGATTATGAAATTGATGACCAAGATTTAAACAAGATTTTGATCGTAACTCAGACACCACCTTATATGAGAAAGCACCCTGGAGGAGATCGAACAGGCACCCATGCATCACAAGCAAACATTACGTCAGAACTTGCTGAAGTGATTAGTGATGGCTTGTATTAATTACTCTGAACAGGACCTGTGGACGGAAAGTGAAAATACACACACAGCCTTAAAGGTAACGATTTCCGGTGAGCATCTTTCTGCTGATAGTTTGCTTGGATTGCATGGTATTACTTGTTTTCTTAAATTTGAGAGTTTATTTCATAAATAAATTATACCCAACATAAAAATTCTTGGAAATATATTTGATAGTCACACCTGACATAATTTTAAGTGACTATATATGAATACTGTCAGCATCAAAAAATAATATTTGCTGACTAAAACTTGTGGAAAAATGTAATTTCTTATGAAGGAATAAAAATGTTGCTATGGACAGGCCTACTTGATATGCTCAGTCTATTCTCTTGCCTTTTACCCTGGATTCTGGCCTCTACCTAAGCTAAGGTAGAAGAGAGAACCAGAATAGCTGTGTAGCCTCCAAATCTCTTTAAATTTAGGAGTATAAGGGGGTCTTTTTCTGCTGTTACACTTTTCAGAGAAGCTTCAAAAGTTAAATACGTGAGGGAGTGATGGAACAGTGAGGGGAAGTGACCTCAAATTGGAGAGTGAGCTTAGAAACCAAACAGCTATAGAAAGAGAAGCTTCCAGCTAGTGTCTGAACAGAGGGAACTGTATATCATGGGCTTGTGAACAAGAGACATGATCTCCTTGGAATTTCCCTTACTGCTTTTAGCCACTGGCTTTTTAGAGAAACTGTTTCAGGTATATCATGTCAGATGCCTTAAAGCCTGGACAGTTTTCTACCTGTCTTGCTCCTATGGGAAAAGAAGTGTGTTTCCATGAAGTTTAGATAGTAGGGTTTTATGTAAAAACACATTTGTGTGTGTGTGTGTGTGTGTGTGTGTCAAATTCACTCATGTCTCAATGCAAGTGTGGAGGTCAGAGGACAACTTGAAGGAATTGATTTTTTCCACCCATGTAGGTCCTGGGGATGGAACTCAGGTCCTCAGGCTTGACAGCAAGCACCATTACTTGCTGAGCCATCTTGCCACCCCTGAATTTTATTTCTGATGCTTGTTTCTGGAGGTGATGCTTAGCTGAAATCATTTTTGTAACAGAAGTAGACAATATATTCTACTAATTGCTGGACCTGGGGACACAGGCTTGTATAATCCCAGTTATATGGGAGAAGGCAGTAGGAACAGTACAAGTTCAAGGGTAGCCTGATCAAAGTCATAAGACCCTGACTCAAAATAGAAAAGGACTAAGGGTATATAGCTCAGTGGTAGATGATTAGCATGATTGAGGCTATTCCATGACGAAATCACTGTCCTTGGTTCTAAAAGGATAAACAGATTGTCAGATTAGATAGTCAGAATGGGCCTCTCTCTGAAAAGAGTCAAGTTAGAGTGAAATCAGAAATAAAAGAATGAAACATGCAAAAAGCAGGAAAAAGTATTCCAGGAAGAGGAGTCAGTGAAGTGTCAGTAGTCTGAAAAAGAACTACTGGCAAATTCGAGGTACCAGTTTGCCCATAGCTGTATCAGAAGATAATTATGGTTGTGAAGGCAGAGTCAGATTAGAATAGAATTTGTAGACCATGTTAAATATTGTGGAATTTATTGTAAGTTCAAGTGCAGGTTTACAGAGATAATGTGACATGATCTTATTTTTATCACTGTGGTCTGGAGGACAGACAATAGGTTATATGGGGACAAAAGTGAGAGGAAGCTGTTAACAGGCTCCCTATAGGAGATGGAGAACAATAGTCTTCGTTCAACTGGTAGCACAGGAAATACAAAAATGAGAACTATGTCTGAGCCTTGATGGATAAGAGAGAATAATCAGGTGTGTCAGAAACTGGATGGTTGATTAGGTAGGAGTGCAGAGCGTGCCAAGACAGCGGAACAGTTTTAATGAAGTTTTGGTGGTTCCAGAAGCTTTGTTGAACTGGTGTGACAGGGGCAGGCTCACATATCTTTAATGGTAAAGACCAGTGAAATAACCACATGATAGATGGTGAGATGCATCTTAAAATCTCCAAAGTTGCTGGGCGGTGGTGGCGTACGCCTTTAATCTCAGCACTTGGGAGGCAGAGCCAGGTGGATCTCTGTGAGTTAGAGGCCAGTCTGGTCTACAGAGTAAGTTCCAGGACAGGCTCCAAAGCTATACAGAGAAACCCTGCCTCGGGGGAAAAAAAAAAGAATTCTATACCATTGTCAAGAATGTAGGTTTCCTAGAGCAAGGCTTATCCTGGGGTGTGCTGACCCTGGAAATTTCTCAAAATTCAGTAAACTCCACTATGTAAGTTGTGGGGGACTGTATTCATGCTTCCCCCAAATTAAAAAAATAAACAAACCACCACCACCAACAACAACAAAAAAACGTTAAATAGATTCTCATCAAAAGAACTTAATTTGCCTTTCACCCAGTCTCTTAGGAAATAGGCATTTTCTTGGTTGTTTTAAGCAGAACAGGGAAGGCAAAAATTACACTTAGAGGCGTATCCTGCAGCTTAAGTATATTGCCTTAGTGACTGACATGATTGGGGGCTGGAGAGATGGCTCCTCAGTAAGAAGTACTTGCTGCTCTTCCAAAGAACCTAGGTTCAGTTCCCAAAACCCTCTTCCGGCCCCTTCAGATTCCAGGCACACATGGTGAACATTCATTCATGCAGTTGAAACACTCACAGAATAAAAGTAAATAAATCTTATGAAAGAAATAAGGTGGAGAGCTTCCTCATGCATATGTATAGACATGTACATGCATACAAAGACACATAAATCATACAAAAATATTAAATATGTTTTTAAAAGTTAACATGATCCTATCAATTTCACAGGTGCCTACTCTAAGCAAATTTAGATCAGTTTGAATCAACTTTATTCCTGGAACACAAGGTATTTACTCAAAATTATTTTATAAGGAAAGAGTAGCACAAAGTTAATAATTAAACTAAATGAAATATCACATGTGAGAATGAGCAAAAGTATGGCACAGGAGGATCATACCTTAAAATAACTGATAATGGAATTATTAAACAAATCTAGATTACCTATGTTTATTATACTTAAGGAAATAAAAACTTATTCAAGGGCAGAGTGTGGTGGTACACAATCCTAGGAAGCAGAGGCAGGCAGATCTCTTTGAGATAAAAAAATATCCAAATAATAAGCATAGAAGTCAGTTGATGGGATTAGCAGCAAATTAGATTCAGTAGAAAACACAAAGACTCCACATGGGAGATTGAGAATCAGAAGCAACATGAAAAGCAGGTGCAAAGGAATTTTTTTTGTAGTACATTTGCTTTTGTTTCAAATCACTTTTATAATCTAATATTAAGTAGACTTTACTATAAAGCTTTTTATTAAAAAAAAACAAACAAACATGAGCTAAGTACAAATTTGAAATACAGGGTGACAGAGAATAGGAAATGGTAAGAAAGAAAGGACATTGGCCACTAGGCTGGTTTGTTTAACACAAATATTTAAGTGGCTGAAGTAAGCAGGTTGTCAGAGTTTATGTAAGTACAACCAGTTATTTACATGCAAAACATTGAAGAGACAAAAGCAGAGATAGACTAGCATCCAGATGGCTTTTGTGTTGTGTGTATGTGTTGTGTGTGTGCATGCAACAATTTACAAGGTGATCTGAAATTCATGTGAAAATTTAAATAATTCAGAATAGTCAAAACAGTCTTTACATAAAGAACAAAGTTAGGCTGTGGATGCTCCTCACTGGGAGAATGCTTGCTTGGAATTCTAGCAACTCTGTATTGTATTTTCACCACAGCGTTCAGCTTTGTTTTTAAAACTTACTAAAAAGCTACAGTTACCAATACAGTAGTCCTGGCATAAACATAGACAGATGGATGATTGGAATGTAATTGAGTTCAAATAAAATAAGCACATGTGTCAGAAATTCTCAAATGTTTATCAATCAAGTGCATTTAATGGGGGAAGAATGTTTGTAGTGGTGAATCATCTGGATATCTACATGCAAAATAATGAAGTTGGTTGGGCCCTTCCAGATATCAGATATAAAAAAGAAACAAAAAAAAAAAACCTAATTCAGGCTGGGCCTTGTGGCTTATAATCCCAGCACTTGGTAGGTGGAGGCTGGAGAATCTGGAGTTCCAAGTGATCCTCAGCTATACAGAAAGTTTGAGGATGACACCCTAATCTCAAGAATACAAACAAACAAACAAACAAAAAATACAAAGCAAAACAAAAAGATTACTATGATTAACATCAAACAGGTTTTCTGTTGGCATTGTTTTGTTGTACTGAGAATGGACCCTGGCACTCTTACCTCTAGCCTTTCCTGATCTTCACAAAGCAGAGAAGGAAATACAGTAAAGAGAAGTTATTAGAACAACTGGAGAGTCACATACAGAATAACCTACATGAAAACTCACATCCTTGATGGAAATTAATTTAGTAGATTTTATACATAAATGTAAAATAAAGATTATAAGAGAAAATTATTGGTGAAATTATTAAGGGCACTCCATGTAGTTAAAAGGGAGGTTTATTTAGTGGTGTAACTTACAAATGAAGGGATAGGTAGGTTGCAGGGTCTAGGAAAGGCATGGCACAGTCTGGTGGTGTTCTCTGGAGAACTCTGCTTGGTCTCCAAGCATCCAGGGTCCAGGAACCAAGAGAAGGCGGCTCATCGGGATCTCGGGTCTTCAGGGCCCCTCTCTTGGCCCTGCCTTGTAGGTGTGACAGTTACTGAAGCCTCAATGGGGGTTGGAACTTCCAGATCAAAGCTGGAATCACTACCTACTACAGAAAATCTTGGCCTTGGGATTGATATGATTTTTGTATGACACCAAAGTTTTATCTCTGAGAATACTCTGTGAGCTCTGGACTTCATTAAACTTAAAAACATCTGCTTTGTGAAAGCCACTGCCAAGAGATAGGAGAAATAAGCAGACTAGTCTGACAAAGCACTCTGATCAAGAATATATACAAAGGGCATTTAAAATAGGAAATAAAATGGTTTAAGGGCGATCAAAAATGCTGGGCACAGCTACATACTCCTGAAATCCCAGCACTTAGAAGAAGAGGTAAGAGGATCAAGAGCTTAAGGCCAGCCTCTACTACATGA